TGTAAAGTTATATTTTCTATCCACCTTGTATTCAAGATTAGTGCTAGTTGTTCCTTCTTTAGCAAATTTGTCTACTAAATTGTTATAGTGTTCTTGTTTATGTGCTTTAACTTTTATAAAATTTATGTCTAAATTTCCCTCTTTTATATAATTGATTATTGTCAACCATAGGTCATTATATTTCTGTTTCAGATGATTTCTAATGTTATTTCCCTCTTCCATCTTACTCAGTGCATTATATTTATTAATAAATGATAGACTATCAGTATAAATATTTATTGAATTATTTTCAGGGACTGTTAATATTGCACTAAATATTGACATCATTTCTGCTTTTAGTGAAGAGTGCCAGTTTTGAATTTGAGCTTTAAATATTGTACCTTTTGCTGCTCCTGTTGTTTGTAACCAAGCAATTCCACTACATGCATTTAATGTTCCTATTTGTTTTACTGATCCATCAGTATAAAAACTATACTCTTCCGATGGTTCATTCATATTTTTTTCATATGTATTGATTAGTAGTTCTGTTATTTCATTACTATTAAATAAATTTCTAATGTAGTTTATTCCTTTGGGTAATTGGGTTTCTACTGTTATTGATTGATTATGTTCACTTGTGCTACTGCTCCACCTGTATTTATTCTTAATTTGATTTTCAATTTCGTTTTTTGTTGATTGAACGTGAAATTTTGTAATATAATTATTTTGTCTCATATGTGGTATCTTGATTGTTTTATCATCATGTACCATTATATGACATTGTTTTCTCTGATTGTGATACATATTTACAATATGGTTTTCATCTAGTGAACAACCTGTACATTGGTTTAATTTTGGTGATTGCCATGTTTCTGTACTAGGTGAAGTTGTGGCTGATATTGATTTAACTTCTTCATGGTGTTGTAAGATCAAGTATTTTTTGTCTTCTATTTGAATTTTTTTAACCTCTTTTCCGAAAATTACTTTATTGTAATCTATAGCTGCTGACATTGTATTATTTTTTTTATTATTATTATTTATATAGTTCCAACTGTGGTAGCTTTCTTTAGTATCATCTATCATTACTCTATGTTCTGGTATGATGACTCTAGTTAGTGTATTACTTAGCAATTTATTTTCTAGTGTTTTGAACCAATTAGGTTTTTTACCCACTAATTTGGCACCTACTTTTGATTTTAAATGTGGCCACTTTATTAATGTAATGCCATCAGTTAATATTAATTGTTCAATAAACCTAATGTTGTATTTTTGCAGGAAAGTTAGGCCTTGCTTAAATAGTTTATAATTGTTAAGAATCTCTTTAATTGTCAATGATTCACTGTTAAATGAATGTGTATTGTCGTTTGTTTCATGATTACAAAACGTGATGGCAGAGTCTTTTGCTAGCTGCAATATATCATAAATTAGGTTTATACCTCTTGGTATTGGATCTGTCGGGATATGTTGCAATATGCATTTATCGCTCCATATCTTATTTTGTAGATCTAGTAATCTTATGTTAGTTGTACCACCCATAAGCCCTTTGTTATTTAACCTAATTATTAATTTTGTTACATGGTGTTGTGTTTGCAGGTTATGTAAATCTGTTAAATTGTATAATCTTATATTTTTAATTGCACTTGTTGGGAATGATCTTACTAATTTAGCTTTCACTTTAAATAGTTGTAAAAATGGTTTCATTATTTGAATACATTCTTGTTTTGATAATATACAAAGTTGTAATTTATATTCTATTGCTGGTATTACCACTTTATTGAATAAATATGTCACTTGTAATTCAGTAATTGATTTTTTCCTAGCAATTGCTGCTGCTGTTCTGCTAAATTCTAATATTTTATTCTTTTGTGATTTTATTTTCCCATCACCATCTATCAGGATACCTAAGTATCTGGCACTTTCACTTTTTTTAATTGCGGTGATTTTGGTATTGTCATCCAATTGCATTTCTTT